AGCTTCAGGCCCTATACTTGCTTTGATTGACGTTTTCTTGGTGTTGAGCTTGCTTTGATGGGCTTGATAGGTCGATCAGTGAGGCTTGATTGGTGAGCTTGATGGGCTTGATCGCTAGGTAGCCTTAGGAAGCTCCGAAGAGTGAAAAAGGCGGTTTCTGGAGCCAAAAAAAGGCAAAACGAGAAGTTAGTATAGAGTTTCGAACACAAAGCAAAAAAGGCCGCAACTATCTGCTCTAGAGAGAGGTCCTTCTAGGAGCGCGTTTGAGGGAGAATAGCAGTGTTGCGTAGTATATAACCTGAAGTCTTATTGCGCGCGAGTAATCAAGAAAAGATAAGATTGTATCGCTATCGCCGTTGAAACCCAGCTACTCGGGAGTCTCTACGTTGAGCAGAGTGCTCACAAGCTATCCTCATCGTTCACTAGCAGTATATGCCCCCAACAGCAGTATACAGCAGGGACAGTAACCTCTCTAAGGCCTTTGGATAGGATATATCGAAGCTTAAGACTCATTAATCGACGCGGAGGCAGGCGGTATTATTCAGTGGATGGGCGTTGTAAGGTAGGCGAGACGTCTATTTTAAGAAGTAGTCAGCTACGCTCTGCTAGGTATATTGAAGCTGTAAGAAGCAGCTATCCTGATGACCCTAGAGGTCGTAGACGAGGATGGAGATGGGCTGTACTTACCGGAATCGCTAGGTTGCTCCCACGCTGTGAGGTTGTACAACTGCTCAAGGTCGTGATCTGAGAGTTGGCTTGTAGCTGACGTCGGCAGCTTTATGCCAGCGACATTCCAAGCCCGTACACATTGAAGCGCGGCGAGTAGTTGTGACCCAATCTTGCGCCGTCGCGGAGCAAGTAGATCTCCTAGTTCACTAAACATGCGCTCGCACTCGCAACTGCTCGCTGGAATACTCAACACGTCAATCGCAAAGCGTGAGAGGTCGGGATACTTAGACTGAAGCTGTACCCAGTACTTGATAGGGTTGCCGTCAACGTTAGGGCTGTTGTGCTGCTTACTCGTCCACTTTGGCTCCAATTTGCGCCACCTGTCGTACTCATCTGTGAGCTCATCATCGTCCTCGCTATCGCTTATGATGTACGAGATAGCCTCGTCAATAGCGCCGTTATCACGCTCTTTTGAGGGCTTTGTTGGAGGAGTAGAGGTCGTATACTCTGCCCAAAGAGCACGAAAGTCAGCCATACAGGCGACGAGCCACTCAGGCTTATCACGCCACGCCTTCTCGCAATAGCGTCGATAGTACGGGTGAAGAGCGCAGGCCGCAAAGTACGCGGGTGAGTCGTCGAGTTTACTGTAGTAGTCGTTGAGCTTCTCCCACGCTGCGCGAAAGTTGATAGAGATGTGATCTTCAGGCGCCTCGCGCTGCTCAAAATCAACCCTCTCGTACTGCCGGAGACGCTGCTCAAAGCGCCCCATAAGGAACTCAAACACTGGTATAACCTCGTATATCGCACCGAAACGGCCACATTTGCCTCTGCCTTCAAGGCGCTTTGTAGCATCTTTCAGCGGCTTCAGCACCTCAATATACTCAGTTATAACAGCC